CTCATAGCTGAAGCATCAAAGCCTGAGTTAATTTCCAAGCATGAACTGAAAAGAATTAGAACTGGATCAGCTCAGCTCAGCTAAATCAGCTCAGCTCAGCTCGCTCAGCTCAGCTCAGCTCGCTCAGCTCAATCAGCTCAGCTCAGCTCAGCTCAAGCTCATTCAGCTCAGCTCAGCTCAAGCTCATTCAGCTCAGCTCAGCTCAAGCTCATTCAGCTCAGCTCAGACAGCAGCTCAGCTCAATGCATTACTGAGCCGGCTCAGCTCACAGCTCAACAATTTGGCCAAAATGTTGAGCCGGTTCATGAGCTGAGCTGATTTTTGAGCCGGCTCAACTGAGCTGATCACAAGTCTGATGGGTAGTTTTCACTCAACATAGTAGGATAATTAAGCATTAAATGCAAAATTAGAGCATGAGATTGTCCGGCATTTAGCCCAACAGGATACCTCTTCAATCGTCCTAGCTGATCCCAGCATGAGCTCAGCTTGTCTGAACTCGGACACACCATCAACATTGCCGAGCCTGAATTTGAGCTCGACGCCGGGCCATGGGCCTGAACTTTGTGGTCATGGGCGCGGGAGCTGGAGGTCAGTGAGGGTAGCCTGCCCCCACAACTCTGGGGCCGTGGGGGCGCTGCCCCACAACTTTTCATAGGGTTAGGAACCGTCGGGGCAGCTTGCCCTCCCTGAATTAGCGGTTGTGGGTCACAAAGGAAAACTAAAGGGAAGAAAACATTTAAGAAAAAATCCCCCTCTTTACCTGGCTTGACAGCTCATGTGGAAGATTTAAGCCTTTATTCTACGTTACCAAAAAGGTAGTTCCTTGACTCAGCTGAGACAAAATATCTCACTTTTTGCAAATGTTTTCGTTTCGTTTTTTTCGATGAAAAGGCGAAGGGTGAAAAATAAGTGGCCTAAAACCGGTGAGAAAACTAGATTTGGGGGTACCCTAGGTTTGGCTAGTCCCACAACCCCCCCCCCCCCCCCCCCCAAGACGGCCGGCTGGATCCGCCTTGGGGCAGCTATTCGCGCTGTATTGTCCTTTGAACCGTCAAAGCGGCCTTGTGTTGGCTGCCAATAACTCAAACGTGCCGGCCGTCACCGGCGTCAAACATCCGGCCAAGATCCAGATCTGGGACATGTTCAGCTTATGCGCGATGTTCCAGCTGTGCATTGTGTCACAGAAGACCACCTTCAGTGACGAGTATTACCGAAGCAGCATCCTGGCAAACAAATAATTGGAGCCGCTCAACCGGACGGCACGGGAGGGCTCGATTTCTAAAAGCGCATTGATTTTGATTCAAGCCACGCTGCCTTCGTGCAGGCTGGAGCGCTACATTTAAGTCCGTAGGAGAATGAGAAGTGACGCCGAGAGAAGCTCTTATCGTTCTGGACTAACGGGCTACGACTTGGAAATGGTTGTCAATTGTCATCCTGATTTCATAGAGATCTAAAGGATGTTTGTCCAGCGGGAGGTGAATAAGGGGACACCCGGCACCAGGACCGCCCAACTGTATGTGAGCACATACACGGCGTCTGTCCACATCAAACCCACTTCTTGAAAACCCAGTAGCTGGAATGTTCCAGGCATTTCTAAATCTTATGAAAGCTGGCGATATCTTCATCAAAAGGAAAACCTCAGGCTGTCTTGTTTCTTAGGCTGTCTCCAGGCCTAGGACCTTTTTTGGTGAAGAAATCTGCAAAAAAGCCGCTGCTCGGGGTCGCTAACCTAACCTTTGACCTAATGTCGCTAACCCTTTGACCTAATGTAGGTTGGTATCAAAAATGTGTTTGTATTTTTTTCCCCCAAAACCACTAGGCATTCGGGGGCTATCGCAACTATTCGTCCGAGGTGTGTGTGTTCATAGGCGCGGGAGCCGGGGGGGGCAGTGGGGGCAGCTTGCCCCCCCCCCCAACTCTGGGGCCGTGGGGGCGGTGCCCCCACAGCTTTGAGACGGAATACCACACTTTTTTTGCAAATGTTTTCTTTTTTGTTGAAAAAGCCGAGGGATGAAAAACAAGTGGCCTAAAACCGGTGAGAAAACTAGATTTGGGGGTACCTTAGGTTGATCTCTATTATGGTGTGCCCCCCCAGTCGGAAAGTAGTTCCCGCGCCCCTGTGTGTGTTTGTGTGTATGGGGGGAGGACGAAAAACACCCTCCCTGGGTCCGCGTGGGTTAACGCATCTGACGAGTATTACGGCTGACAGAATGTGTCCGTACAAGTTGGGGACCCGTGGCGACGCCCCTGGGCATAAACAGGGGTCACGGACACCATTTTCATGTTCAGTGTGTCTAAACCACTTGTAATTCAGTGTTTGGGAGTGTTTATAATGTATTTCGTCCAAAAGAAGCGCATTTCAGTTTTCTCCCATTGACTTATAATGGGGAGGTCGCAAAATTGACCTGACCTTAGGTCACCGATATCAAAATTCTGAGAGGTACATTTTGTACATGCTATTGCTCTTAGCAATCGCTGAAAGTTTCAAAGCGATCGGTCACTCGGTGTAGCTATGACAGACATTGAAACTTTTTATGAGATGAGGTCACTTCAAGTGACCTGGTGACCTGACCTTGAATGACATTGGTCTGAAATTTTCACAACATGTGTAGAATTGATGTATGATAAGGTGTACCAAAAAACGGGAGCGCCGCCGTTTTTGAGATATTCGCGAAAAACCACAAGGGGGTGTTCAAACCCCCCCCCCCCCCAGCAGGGCGCGGGTTAATTCTTTTCTGATGCGGCAATGGGCTTGTACATAAAAGCTCCGATGCTAAAAACAATTCAATTAACGAAAGCCGTTCGCCCGCGTTCCTGTCCAAAGCAGGCCCGCGTTGTTGATGGGGAGGCACACGTTTCCCTCCATTTCTGCCGCGGCTGTGCCAGGTCTGTATCGCATCCTGTCCAGCTCGATACACATTCGGACAATGGCCGGCCATCCGTCCGTCCGCCGGCACTGACAGCCCATTCGATACCTGACAGGCCGGCAATAACAGGTCTCCGGGTGGGTGATAATGGGAAAACTCCGTCAGCCGGCCGCGGTCGGCGCTGGTGGTGCCGCGCCACCCCAGCAACCGATAGGCCTTTCAGGGCATACGACATGGCCACAATATACTGGGCCGAAGCTTTGTGCATCTCATTATTGGTCGACATAAATGAATGAAGAACGGACCGATCGCCCGCCGCGCCGAACAATGTACTGGGTGAGACTCATTCCGAAAAAAGAAATTGGCATTGGAAGTTCACTGAAAACAATTTTACCCGAAGCTGGCGAATTAAGCGTTGCTCTGCGGGTGGTATATGTGTATTAACTCGCCATGTCCAGATTCTAGCTAGAGGGTAAGCAGACTTGCCTGCCTTATTACTCGTAAATATGCACCGTACTCACAGTCTGCAGTAAGGTAGCTACTCAGCACCGGATATTGTCCCCGCGGGTTTCGAGTCATGGCATTGCCCTCACAGAAAGAGTTGGAACTACTCGAGATATCGTAAACGCGTATCCGTGGATGGCGAACCTTTACATAACCTGCCCTGAAGGAGTTGGATCTACTGGCACAACTAGATGGCGTTGTCTCATACAGTTTTGAATTACAGCAATTTTTTAACTTTTTTTGCACCAATGATATAATGGCACATTGTTTGGCGGTTTCAAGTGGGGGCGAAAGTACAATTGTTAGGGTGCATCTTTAAAACCTCTGCAATATTCATCACGGGACGATTAGCAACACCTTTTCTTCCGAAACTACCAAGTGAGACCATTTTGATTCTTATTTAGGTCACTAAAGCAGTCGCGAGACATCTTCTTGATTTCGGGCGGTCTGCATGACTGCCGGTGACTGCAGAGTCATGTCGAATTTTCTATGGGAATTCGATTTGACCATTCCCACCGACGTGAAACTTTCTCACCGATGTTTTCTAGGTGTGAGATTGTCATAATATAGATAATTTCCCTCAAATATGGTCAAGCGTGGGAGTTTATTTGGCCCTCGTGACTTGGTCGGCGAAGGGTAGGCGTGGAGGGTAACCCCTTTTAGTCATACCTGCTCTGAGCGGATATAACCGCTGAGGCAGATACGGCTACACTGCAATGGGACCTTACTGTACTCCTGGGAGGGTGGTTAAAAATGGTTGCGGATAGGGGTACCCGCGAAACACCGGTTTACTCGCCGGCCCTGGGTTAAACTGTTTTCAGTGTTGGAAGAAGCCTCTACCTCCTGGTTCTTATGAGTACAAGCCTATTAAACGTTTGCTCAGAAGAATTGTGGTGATCGTATTGCATGCATTTTTATTAACTTAAGTTTTGTATCAGAGCAAGCTATGACACGCATTCTCTAAATGCATTCAATTAACAATTTCCTTATTGCATACAATGGGGGGGGGGGGCGCTGCACTGGTGTATTGTATTGTATTGTATTCGAAAGAAGCGAGTAAAACGACCCAATGAAGAAGGTTGAAACAAGGCATGGAGGACGAACGCACATTTTCGTATCGACCGGGTAAAAATATCGTGCAGCCCTCACCAACAACGCTCATCAATCTGAGTTTACAAGAAAAACACATCCAGTGTATGGTGCGCCGATAAATCGAGTAACCATAATTCAGAACGAGTTTAGTTCGTAATGTTTGGATTGTGGTTCCACCAAATCTAGTGAGCCCTAAACCGACTTGGATGTTTGATCAATCACTGATTGCAGCTTCGTGGAGTCATTTTCCCTGATATGGTGACTAGAAATAGCACCATAAAACTAATCTGGGTTACAACCCTTCTTCAAATACATTATTTCCTCATTCGAAAAATTATTTGCAGCCTATTTAAACATATTTAGCCGCAAATCTTCATAAAGAAATTCAACAAAAACGAATGAAAATGTGTAAATGATGCCTTTACATGAACACTACACAGGCATGATCACTACACAGGCATGAACACTACACGGGCATGAACACTACACAGGCAATGGCAATTGGCACTTGTCTCCGAGTCAGTGGTATCGGCTCACCTGTGACGTCATAAATTCGAGCAGAAACATGGCGTAGAACACGCACAGTCCGGCCGGCGTGACGTGGTCCCGCTGAATGACGTAGTGCAGGTGGTCCAGCGAGTGAGAAATGTTGAACAAGCCATCGCAGAAGGCCATGTAGACCGCTATCCGCTCCCCTGTGCGACAAGGGTGCGGTCGTCAGTCTGGAAAAAATTGTGATGAGCAGCACGATTAGTCATATACCTACTTTACTCGACTTTTCAACGCCCAGCGACTCGTTCAGCGGTGCAGCGGTTGTCCTAAATGTTCGACGGCAGAACTTTCGAAGCGAAAATGTTCAAACGCATTGTCACCCGCTGTCTCGCTCCTTCTCCCCCCCCCCCCCTCCCCTGCACGGGAAGGATGCAGCCTACAGCCGTATTAAAAGTTTTGCCAATTTTGCCAAATGAATGAACATTGAACGGCTTTGCATATAACTACGGATGTAATATCCGTTTTCACGACGGCCATCTACATAGTGCACATTTGGTGCACATCTGGTGCAGATAAGGTGCAGATTTGGTCAAATTAGGTTCAGTGTGTCTCTTAGTAGCTATCAGCTAGGGTTGTACTAATTGCTTATATGCATGCTTTGTCTTATTATCAGAGAGCATTATCGATTAAAACACTGAAATAAATTCATAAAATAAAGATATTTGCTGTAAAAGAGATTAGGCGACTCGCATCATATGTATAGATCCATGTTCCTGGTTTATCGTCAGATCTTATGAGATCATACAGTAGATCCGGGAGATATTTTTTACGCGGGATGCGGTGGGATCATTGATCCCAACTTGCAGTTGGCTTTGAGATCCACTGAGATCACAGATCCATCACTCGGATCAAATCACATCTCTGCCAACAAGTGCAGCAAAAATGCAATGTTTTTTTCACATTGAAGAACATTTATTTCACATACGAACATGCAGGTGCATTCATCATTCGACACATTGGTTGTCCTCGCCGCCTTCATCGGCGGGTGTATGTGGCCGGTCCGGCCAAGCCGAGGACGGCGCCTGTAGCATTGGCTCGAACCGAAAAAAATGCAATGTTGGTAGCGCATGACTGACAGCCCCCTGCTGCAGGATGCACTGCAGATGTGTTTGATGCAAGTGTCCCTGTCTGCGCACCGTGGCACCCCGGGTCGTGGCATGTCCCGCGCCACGACAGTGATTGTCACCAAACGCCCGTGCTGTATGGGTATAAAGGGCCTTGAGTGCTGGGAGAGGTTACACCGAACATGTATGTAACGGCGTAACGCCTTGCATAGTGTTACGGACGGATATTGTGAACGGCTGAAGGAGGGATCTTTTGCGCTTTACCAGCCCGGCTATTGAAGTAGTACCTAATTAGGACTAGTGGCCCCATCAAAGTTCTTCAAAACCCGCGCACCGACGGGGGTCTGCGCCAACTTCGCACCGACGGGGGGGGGGGGCGGATGACCGCCCCCCCCCCCTGAGATCTCGAGAACGAAGCAAGGTAGCGACAAGCGGTAAACGGCATCGAATACGCACGGACAAGGTCTACAATTTTTACAAAGGTCATTTTCAGGTCAGGTCAAAGATGACGTCACAGGGGTCGAAAAAGTCAAAATGGCGGCGCTAGATATAGAGAGAGTTTTTCTCCAATAACTTTCGAATTAGTCAAGATAGGAACAAACTAAGGGCATCATCGTGATCCTCTCGTCAATCCGCATCGAATGATATATATGTTGACCTCGAAAGGTCAAGGTCAAAGGTTGACCTCAGGTCACGTGACCTCGAGGTCATCATGTATATCATTCGATGCGTCTTGACGAGCTGAACACAATGAGACCATCCGCGCGGCTGTATCTTGTTCCTGTACGGAGTTATTGGCAAAAAACCTTTGGTGACCTTTGATGACGTCACATGACCTTACAGCTGCCCAACAGCAAAACAGACCTCAAGGTAGTAAAGATTGATCGTATATAAAGTCATGTATGGTATATGGGGCCATTCCGACGCGTTTTAGTTGTAAAAACAGGGAGTTGATTTTTCCCCCATTGACTTATAATGGGGAGGTCGCGAAATTGACCTGACCTTAGGTCACCGACATCAAAATTCCGAGATATACAAATTGTAGATACTAATGACCTAATAACATCCTGCGACTTTCAAAGGCCTCCGACATCTACTGTAGCTCTGGCACGGTGACAAAGTTGCAAAAAAGTGACTTGAGGTTGGGTCATTCAAAGTGACCTGGTGACCTGACCTTAAAAGTTAGGAGGTTCAAACTTGCACACCATGTGTAAAATTGATGAGAGAATAGTCGTACCAAATTTCGCGGCGCTACGCGCCGCGGTTTTCCCGCTATTCGCGAAAAACCTCAGGGGGGGCGGATATCCGCCCCCCCCGTCGGTGCGCGGGTTAAGTACAGAGTTCCTTCCTATTTGGCCATTTTCTAACGAAAGATATATATTACAATGAACGCGAATGTCACTGAGGGCCTCGTTCTAAGAATATGGCGGTGAAATGCGAGTTAATGTGTGACCAGACGTTGCGATGCGCAGCTTTCCTAACCATGTCAGCGGCTACTTTGGACATATCCCTGACTTTGGTCACTGCTTGCTTGTCACATCGCGTATACATAGGCTGGCCAAAGTGCACGAACTGAGATTTATCCAGAAGACCGTCGGCAAACTTTAGAGATTGTTCTATTAAAACACAGCCTCTGAGCCAAAACTTGCAACAAGGGCTCAAATGTTGATTAGCCAACACGTAAAGCTTTTCAAGCCGTTCAGCGTGTTGAGGAGATTGTTTCCGCAGTCCCGTCTGGTGCGATGCCGAGGAGGCTGGACACATCCACTCCCGGACCTGCCCGAGTTCAGAGAACTCTCCGTGGCGACTGAGACTGCTGAGCCTCGTACCGCAGCCCCGTGGTGTGCGTGCTGCCCAGGTGTAATTGGGTCACGAACTCTGAGCCCACCAGTAGGTATCGATTTAGTTATATGATCTCCCGGCTTGGTGATCCCGGCAGGTGGTTAAGGTCAATATGTAGTCCACATTGAGGTGGTGAGCTGCCTCTGAACACGGACACATATTGTGACGTGCAATGTGCATTATAGAGACCGCGCTGTTCTCTGTTTCGTCAATTAAACCTTGTTGACTTCGGGGTGATAATAAAGGTTTCCCTATTTGCACAGACTTTTTCCTTATTTGCCGTCTAAGTCCGAGTGTCCTGCCATCGTCGTCCTCTGGTGGTATTCGTTTCGTCCTCCGGTGACTTTCGCCTCGCCCTCCGGCGGTATCGGTCTCGCTCCCCCGCGGTATCGTCTCGCCCTCCGGCCATATCGGTCTCGCCCTCCGGCGGCGCTGGCGCTCCGCGGCGGCCAATTATCAGCGGGTCCATCAGGCTCTGTTTGGCCGGCCACTCGGTAACCGGATCACTGGCGCGATCAAACGGATTTCGGCCGCGGCCGCCCATCTGCGAGCCGCTCTTCCTGCCTCTCCAGCTCGGCCCCCCCCCCCTCCCGGCCGCCGAGGTCGTACGAGGGGATGGGGGGTGGGCGTCGACCAGGGGTGCTGACCTGGCAACAATGGATGGCAGCCACGGACGACTGCCGCCACCACTTGGTATCGATGGCCATCAACAGTCAGTGTTATATTTTATCCCTCGCCGGCCGAGGGGGGGGGGGCGGATGCCGCCCCCCCATAGGGTTTTTTTTCGCGATAGCTCCGAACACGCTGGCGATAGAGAGCTGAAACTTGGCATACCTGACCTTTGATTCAAGCCGGATCTTTTGACACCATCCGCATTTTTGGGTCAGGTCAGGTCACTGACCTATGACGTCATAAGTGAACCTCTGCACGGTCTTCAGATGTCGCAACTTCGCAACGCCCTCACTGCCAGAGTAGCTTTCACAGGGAAATGAAACTTGCAGGATCTAAAATCCATTACTAGTCTCACAACTTTTACATCTCGGATTTTTCCTAAAGGTCATGATGATACAGGTGAAGCTTCGTACACCACTGCGCGGCGTTGTGTTGTGTTGTGACGGTTACGGCGCGTCTGTGCTGTGGCGCGTGGCCCCGGTCCCGGCACCTCGCCGCGCCGCTGGCTGAGCCGGTCAGTTGCCGGCGGTCCCTGGCTCCGCCTCTGCGTGGGACTGGCTCGGCTCCGGTGACCGGGCGGCCGGCCGTTGGCGGCCATCCTCCCCGGTCCGCGGCGCTGGCCGCGCCTTTGCGCGAGCCGGACGCGCCGCCTGGGGCGCCGTTGCCGTGGCTGTGCCGGACGCGAGGTGGGCACATTGTTGGACCGTGGAGTTGGTGAGAGCAGGTTGTGCGTGTGCATTGTCCGTGGTGGAATACAGCAAGAAGACATTCGGTGGAGTTTCGGACTGGCAGCGGCGAAACGAGAATCAAATGTTGAACGCCAACATTTCTGGGGGCTCGTCCGGGATCCGCTGCTAGCCGGGACTCATCACAGCGCTGCTTCGAAGCAGTTCTGTCGACCTACGAAAGCACGCTTTCATCTGTCGCGACAGTGTCGTCAAGTCAAGTGCTCGTCGTCGGCATCGGCGTCTGTGACACACCGTCAGTGGATCGACTGTGCCGTGATCTATTCAAGGGCCGTGAATCGACACCGTATGCGAGCCGTGAGTGACGTCATCTGCCGTGGACAGTAATAATCTGCTGCTCACCTGTGACATCTACCACTGGTCAGCGACGTCACCTGTCAGCTCGTTGTGTAAACGTTTGTGACGTCCTCTGACACCAGTCTGCCGTCGGGAACCATCGGCCGATTCATTGACGCTGTCGCCTGCGTCGCTGAGGCCCAACCGTGTGACGGCCGTCGTCGGCGTGTGCTGTGTCGGCGTGTCGCGTGTGCTGGTTGGTGACTGTCGTCGGCTTCGTCGGCTGCCGTCGCCCGCTTCGTCGACGATCGTCGCCGCTTCATCGGCGACCGTCTCCTGCGTCGACGATCGTCGGCGGCCGTCTGCCTTCGTCGGCGGCCGTTGTCTACCTCGTCTGTCTTCGTCGACGACCGTCGTCTGCCTTCGTCGGCGGCCGCCGTCTGCCTTCGTCAGCGACCGTCAGCTGTATCGTCGGCGGCCGTTCGTCGGCGACCGTCTCCTGTTACGTCGGTGGCCGTCTGCTGTCTCGTCGACGACCGTCGT